GCGAAAAAATTTTAAAAGTTTGAATTCGCGCGCTTTTACTTACCGGGCGGCCTAGTAAAAACCTCGTCCCTAAGGGCTTTCAGCGTATTTTTCGATGCGTTTTTCTCTATGAAGGAAGTTTTTTTTTGAATTTTTTCTTTATTTTTATGTCAATCTACATGCATTTCTGCACATTTTGATGCAATAAAAAATTTCAATGTACACCACCTTTAATAGGGAAAAACGGTTATTTGAAATTCCAGATATTCGAAATTTAAAAATCTCAAAATATCAGTTTATTCCAAAACTTTTGATACTTTTTGAGATATTTCAAATTTTTACAATTTCCAAATGCATACATATATTCTATTCTGATTGTTTCTTTTTCAAGATGAAAAATGGCAATGATCCAAATCTGAATTACTTTGAAGTCAAAACTACAAAATTATAAGAACACATCACTATGAACACACCGAATACTATGAACTCAACAAATTACATGAACCCTATATACCGTAACCAGTGAATTCCAAATTTCTACAACATATTTTTCAGTTGATTTCCGTTCATTTTGGCCATTTTCAAGAGTCTGGAGCACGGCTGTCAAGTTTTCAATTACTTTGAGGATGTCAAACAGTCCGAGATAAAAAACTTTGCATTTACAGAATTTTACCTGATTTTGTACTAAAAACTTGAAAAACAGGTGTGTTTCAGTAAAGGTAAAACGTCTGAAAATCTAAGAATTTTCAAAAAATTCGGTGAATGCAAAGTTTCCAATCTAGGTCTATTTTATTTGGTTGTTCGGAAAGTCCTTTCCACTTTTGATATGTTGTTTTCAAACTTCGTTTTCTTGAAGGGGATAAAAGCGAGGAAGTTGTCGTTTTATCAGTATGCTGGTGAGGTCTAATAGTGTCTACACCCCAACGGAGATCATTCTTCTCTTTTCGTGCAGTGAGATATGCCCACCGTTTTCGCCTCTAATAATTTCCATTTTTGGACTACCATTTTATTTGTATTTCTATCTGACTTCAGATCAACTGAAATCAATCACCAATTTGTGGAGCTTAACAACGAAGATGCACCCTTTCGAACAAACTTCACAACCTGGATTCATCAATTTGAAAAATGAAAATTCTCGTTGGACGAAAATCCCCCTCCAAAAAAGCATACGGGATCAGATTTGGACGCGCATTAAAAACCGGGATTGAAATGGACCCGTCTCAAACTGTGCGGGATATATCAAGTACATAAGTGACAAAGGCGCTTAATCACCAGACGTCCCGAAACGTGAAATTAACGTTAAAAATGGGATGGTTCCGGCATGGATGTCTACCAAGGAGTGGAGTATTGGGAACTGCCAGATACCTATTTTTGTCAGGGGACATAACTCAGACTCCATGTGGATCTCCATTGGAGAGAAATTCCAGCCAAATTTTCAAAGTCGATGTTTTGACCGCAACCTTTGGCAAAATGTTTCCTATATTTTTCTCCAGTTTTCCCCAAAGTTTCAGCCAGATTGGAACACTCTCCGAGTTTTCGCGGAGTTTTTTTTTCCTTTTTTGCCGACTCCCTGAATAACCCCATTAGTAATTATGATGATAACCTGCTGAAATTTCACCAAAAAAGTTTAATATTTTGATTTCAGGTTCTGCTATGTTGCCAGGACGCCAGTACGACAATCCTGACCGTAATCTAAACTACAATAGTGAAATTTTTATTCATTAAAAAAGGCTATAATAACTACAGTAACTGAAAAAATGCAGTAACTTGAAAACTACATAAATTGAAAAAATTGCTCGCAGGTAAGTTTTCCTGATTGGAATGACTTTCGAAGAAAGGAAATAATACTTATTCCGACGATACTCTTTTAAGATTTTTTAAATTCAGAGAAATACCAGCATCATCCTCGATGGTAGTGCAAAGGAACCTTCTGGAAAGTTTCTGTATGGAATAAATGGATTTGGTTTTTAAAAAATCTTTTCTTCATTTATCAAAAATAATTTTCAGGTTCTTCTAGATTCTTCTGAAAAACTTTTAATTTTTAGAGAATTTCAATTATAAGATGTTCCTGATTCAATGGATTAAAAAAAAGAATTTAGATTTTTAGTATTTTTATTCAGATTATTCAGAACTCATTTCAGATTTTTGATCCAGATATCATAAGATTGGAACTATTTTTTGATTTTTGAAAATGCACACTTGTTTTATGGCTTAGTCGAAAAAAGATTACTTTTCAGATGGAAAATGTCTGAAAACTTTCGAATGAATTTTTTTTTTGGGACTTTTGGCTTTTTTGATCTACCTAAAAAGTAATCTAATAAATGATTACTTTTCCGGTAGATCAAAAAAAATCAATAGTTTCATGAAACAAATTCGCCATCGAAAAGTTTCAGATATTTTCTAATTTTAATTATATGCTTTGAAAAAAATTTTCAAACTATTATATTTTCTACCGTATTTTTAATATTTCTTCTTGCAGAACCATGTCATCGACATCGTCTGGCTCCAGAGTGAGAATCGGAGCTCAAGCGGTGAGTTGATGTGAAGGAGGCCATTTGGGCACCTGGATGTTTCAACCTTTGGGAACCTTTTAAGTGAAGATAGAAGTCCGCAGAAACCACCTATAATAGATCGAAAGAGCTCTAAATCTGAAAAAAAAACTCATAAATCTGTTTTTAAAGTCTTCTTACGAAACCTTTGAACTGCTGAAAATACAGTTTGAAAATCGCTTTTTTAACCGTAAGATTCCTCTGTTTGGCGCATTGGCGACAGCCACCCTCTCTCCTCTTGCTCTCTCCAATTATCATTGCACACCGACCTTATTAAAAAACATGAGTGTGTGGCGCAGGAGAAGAGACGACATCCCTTGTCAGAAATCGAAAATTCGAATCGAAAAAGCGGAAATTCGCAACTCTGTCATCTACAGCTATGACTTCGCCTGCACTTATGTCAAGAGCACAGTCACTGGATTTTTCACAACAATGAAGAAAATGATTTGGGAGACAGAGGAAGAGAAAGTTGTTGAGAAGAACCAGATAATTTTAGTTTGATAATCATTTTCTTTCCTAATTCTACTAATCAAAGCTGTCCCTTTCTGTCACGAGTTCCGGAGACTACCCTCTCTTTCCTTTTCTGAATAAGTCTCATTTCATCATACTTGTTTGGTAATGAAAAATATTGATGCATTTTTGTTAGTTAGACCTGAAAGTTTTCAGAGGCAAAATCTGTTATATATCTTTACAACGAAATTACGTGACTTTCCACTGCTATACTGTACCGTCTAAATAATGACGCTACCTAACCTCTAGTCTCACGAAAAGTGGGACTATCTTGGCAGCTGGGGACATGGCAACAAGGAGCAGATGGTCACCAGCCCTTTCCTCTGAACGACTAGCAATATAATAAAGAATATCGACCGATCTTTTCTTGCACCACAAGAGAGTAGAAGACGGTGTGATGCGTGCCTTGTTTCTGTCTCTAGCTGCCAACAGGGTCCCAATCTTATTAGAAGGGATAGAAAGAGATCATACTGTACACTGTACAATACCGCAGTAAAGAGTCAAGGTACAGGTCCAAACTCCAGACCGAGATCTCTTTTTTTCATAAGTTATGAGCAAATTTCTAGAAAATCCAGGACGTACAAAATTTTTTCGAAGCATTCATTTTTACAATTACAGTAAGAGGGGAAGAGAAGAACAAGAAGACGAGAACAGAAAAAAAAAGTGGAAAGCGAAAAAAAAGGGAAATTTATATTCAGTTGGTTTCTCTCTTCTTCTTATCAGGAGACGTGACAGTGGCAGTGAGAGAGAAATCGAGAAGAGAAGACGTAGAGATGATTAAAGTTCCCTGAAAAAAAAACAAAAATATAGCATCACAGTTCTAGAGATTAGGGTCTGAAATTCAATTTAGAGGTACGGGTCTAAATTTCAGACACAATCCTATTCTCTATCACTCACTCCGACTCAATGAATCCGTTCGTGTAGACACGGAGCATGAACTCGGCCTCTCGTTTGGCTCGAATGTCGATGGGACAATCACATAGTTTCCTGGTGGCACACGGAAGCGTCCCGTCATCTGAAATTTTTTTTTGATATTTTGATTCGGCGGAAGATCAGAATTATAAAAAAAATCACCGTAAAACCTGTAATAGAAGGGCCCACACACTGCCAAGTTTGAGCTCAATTATCTCTAATTCCTATGCGAGATATCAAAAATGTGTCAACTAATAAAATCTTAGTGATGTGATGATAAACAGTTTATCAGTTGACTACTTTTTGATATCTTTTTGGCAGCCGAGATAATTGAGCTGCAAGCAGAGAGGCCGCAAGCGCGGCCGACCGTATAGCAAGGGTAGCACACTTGGAGCTCAATTATCTCAACTCCTATGCAAGATATCAAAAATGTGTCAACTAATAAAATGTTGGTGATATTACGATAAACAATTTATTAGTTGACAACTTTTTCATATCTTTGACAAGAACCGAAAAAAATTGCTTCAAAGTCAAAGGGGCCTTCTATTACAGGTTTTATGGTATTTGAGAAAATCGGCGAGAAAATAGAAGGGCAAAACTTGATAGCCTAACTTGTTTGAATGGCGGCCTAGAACCCCAAAGCTAGTCCTCAAACTTTATTGATGCTTCTAGGGACCATAAAAACCGAAAAAAACATTTCGAAACCTTAAAAACAGCCCATTTTCGCTCATTTTTATTAGAAGGCCTACCTTTTTTAATGGTGGCCTAGAATTACTAAACTAATCTTCAAAGGTTCAGAATGTTTTTTTAATCCTAAAAATCACAGAAAACCGTTCATAAACAACAAAAATAGCTTATTTCCAGCCATTTGGCCTCAGGTGACCGAAAACCTCAAAATTCCTTGATGGCCTAACTTTACCAGATGATGGCCTAGAAACCGAAAACTAGTCCTCAAATCTTTTCATTGTTTCTAGGAACCATAAAAACCAAAAACTGCTAATTTCCAACCATTTTGCCACTGATGGCCTAGAAATCCAAAACTCGGCCACTACTCTTACTTCTCTCAAATTGATAAAGGCAGCTGATCTCATCGCTGACTTGTTGGCAGCGAAGAATTGCTTACTGAGACGTCCACGACTTCCGCCAGCCTGAAAAAGAAATTTTAGAATTGTCTGAAAAATTTCAAAAAAGCACAAAACTTGTGGTTAGGTCACAATGTTCACAGAAAACCCAACATGGAGAAAAAGTGGG